TGCAATAGTCATAAGTGTAAAAAATGGTCATGTCACTTTTTTCAGTGCCGTTGTAACTTCGAATGTCACTAAGAAAACAGTTGTAAGTCAAGGATTACCTATATCATGCAGACTTGGAGTGAGAAGAGCCATTAATTAAAACAATTGGAAGGTTTCAGGTTAGGAAAGGCCACTATAAGTTATTTTGGTCTCGGGAGAACAGAGCTGGTGTTGTGGTGGTACGACGTGCGATCTTGATGCTCCAAGATCACCTTCGATATCTCCGCTGTTGGACGGTCCCACCGGACTTAAACTGTCCCGTAGAGATGGTGATTGATAAGGGCATGTCTTGCTGATCCCAGGGACAGCACAAAGTCCCTGGTAGATCCAGGAAAAGCCCTTTTTGCCGGTGGCAGAGAGGCAGCCATTTAAGCTGCTGAAGCTGGGACAACTCCAGAATGGAAGAGATTGGAAGAAAGTGTGTCAGTTTGGTGAGATGAATTTTTACTTACTATTTTTTGGAGAGAACACCCTAAAAGACTTAAAGTGAAATCAAAAGTGAAGAGAAAAGAGGTCAAGCAGCGAGATTAAGATAGTTATACTGAAGGGGTTTTTTGCCCTTTTTATTGGAACTTGAATTTGGCAAAGCTTCTCAATTTTAAACTGGACTGGTCTTTTTTGATTTTTTATTTTCTTTAACAATTTTCTTGAAAGTCTGGTTTTATTAAGACTCTTCTTTCTGATTTGAGATTTCTTTCTTTCCCTTTTTTATAAAAAAGGGATTTTACTTTTTTTTTAATCTGTTCCTGGCTTTGGATATATGAGGGGAAGTGAAAGTGAAGGAAAATAAGTAGCACTGCCATCTAGAGGCTTGGATATATTGTTTTCTTTTCTCTCTTGTTCGTGTATTGTGTATTCAAAGACTCTGAGCTTTTTACTGAAAATGATAGTGGGATGAGCATGGCAGATTGTTTATACAGGTGCTCATCTGTGAAACTTTAGATAGCTGGAGTCTGGAGTTGAAGTTGAAAGAAAGAAGATTGAAGTGACCTTGAAGATACTGGAACTGGAAAGTCTGATTTGATTTACTAAGGAGCCTTGGATATTTAGTGGCAGTGGCTTGCTTTTTGTTAGAATTGCTTGCTATTCTTTTTTTTTTAAAATTTCCCCTCTAGCTGGATTTTTATGTTTGGATTTCAGCCTTTTAATCCAGGAACTAGACTACATTTTTCCTTTTGCTTCCTTTTTTCTAGTAAAGGGAAATATAAAGACTATTTTTTTTAAAAAAAATTCTTCTTTCCCTTTATCTTTTTAAAAAAAATCTTCTCTACTTTTTTACCTGTTCCTTTTTTTACATTTTTCCCCTTTTCTTTTTGCATATTACTGGAACCAATTGGATTAAGGTATACAAGTGCCTGAAGATTTTTCCCCTCCTTTTTTATTTTTTGGAGTGGCGGCTGCTTGCTTTTGTTTTCTTTTTTTCTTTTTTTTATTGCTAAGTATTACAAGATGAGTAGAAAGACAACAGCCCCAGTTTCTTCAATACCAATAGCTTCCCTTCACCATCTGGAGGACAACAATCAATACAGACAATGTTACAACAGGAGAAAGAGAAGGAAGTGACATTGCAAATGATTATGCAAGGAATCCAAAAGATTGAAAAGAGAACAGAGAATATTGAGCAAAGAACTGAAAAGACAGATGAGAAAATGGAGAATATCCAACAGATGATTATGAAATATGAGGATAGATTTAAGAAAATTGAAGAACAAGATATACAAAGAGATAAGAAAATTGGAGATATTGATACTCGATTGAGTGAAGTTGAAAAGGGCAGGAGTGGACCATTAGGATGGGCAATTGATAGATCAGAATTCTATTTGAGATTCCAAAATGTAGAAGAAGAAAAGGGTGAAAACCTTGCTGAAATAATGATAAAAATACTGGCAGAAGCATTAGAGATAACCAAAGAGAAGATGATGGATGGGATGGATGAAGTGTTCCGTGTCTATACAAGATATGCAATGAGAAATAAGTTACCAAGAGAAGTTCACATCAGATTTACTAAGAAAACTATTAAAACACAGATACTGCAGGTGGAAAGAGAGAAAACATTAAAGTACAAAGATAAAGAAATTGTGGTGCTGAAACAGGTACCAAGAAGAGTAAGAGAGATGAGAAGAGAATATTTATTTTTGACTAAAGAGTTACTTAAAAGAGGAGTAAATTACAGATGGTTGATACCAGAAGGTCTCTTGTTCACCTGGCAGGAACAAAGACATAGAATTGACACAGTCAAAAAAGTGGAGCTATTCTATTTAGAATATCTTAGAGGAAAGGAGGAAGACACAAGAAAAGAAGAGTCGCTAATTGAATTTCAAGAGGAGTGTATCACAGTAATTGAAAAAGAAAAAGAGGAAGGTGCAGTAGGTGGTGTACCCAGAGAGCAATGAGAACTAAGATCTACTAGAGCAACACAACCCTCCTATAAAGCCTAATATGGATGAAAGAAAATTGATTATGATTAACATAAATAGACTTAATTTAGTTACTAAAAGAAGAAAAGTATTTCATAAATTAGAGAAATTAAAGTTTGATATAATCTGCCTACAAGAAGCACATATTAAAAAACAACATGAATATATATTGAAACAAAAAAAATTAAAGAAATTATTCACATCGTCGACACAATGTAAAAAAGAGGTGTGGTCTTATATATTAGAGATACAATTCTGGCAGAACCAATCTACACAGATGATGATGGAAGGATTTTGATGGTGGAAAGAATGGACAAGAATGTAAAAACAGTTTTAATAGCAATTTATGCTCCAATTGATAACCAAGAAGAATTCTACAGGAAATTACATATGAAAATAATTGAACTGGACTATGTTAATATTTGTATGATGGGAGATTTCAGTGGAATAATTAATGATCAATTGATTGATTATAAAACACAGAAATCAACAAAGAAAATTAGAAAGACATTACCAAAATCCTTCTTTCAAATGATAGAGGAAACAAACTTAAAAGATGCATGGCGAGAGAGAAATGTGGAAAACAAGCAATATACTTTTTATTCAAACAGACATGCATCAGGGTCTAGAATAGATATGATATGGATGTCAGCAGAACTACTTTCTAATATATGAGAAATTGAAATAGAAACAAGTACTTGGACAGACCATAACCCAATGACAGTTACTTGGAAAGGACAAGAGAAGATCTAGATGGACTCTAAATAATACGATATTGAAGGAAAAAGACTTCAAACAGAAAATGGAGAGAGAATTGGTTTTCTTTTTTAAAGAAAATAAAAAAGAGGATACATCTCTACAGAATCTCTGGTACACGATGAAGGCCTACACAAGAGGCTTGATAATAGATTATACAAGGAAAAGAAATATAAAACAGAAAAAGACTTTCAAAATACTGGAAAATGACTATAAGAGATTGAAAAAAGAATTACAGAAGTTTCCGTCAAAAAAGGCATTAAAATTAAAATGGACATAACTAAACATAAAATGGGACAAATGGAAAAAGAGGAATTAGCACAAAAAATTAAAAACACTAAACAGAATTACTTTGAAGATGCAAACAAACCACGATGATGGTTAGCCTATAAATTGAGAAAGGAAAGAGAATCAAGGATTAGTCAATTAATAGACGAAGAAGGATATGTTTGCTATGGAAATGAGGAGAAGAAAAAAATTATACAAGATTATTATGGAAAACTGTATTATCAAGAGAATATTCAAGAAGAAAAAATTAAGCAATATTTACAGAAAGCGAAGTTACCCCAGATACCCCAAAACATTGAAACAATGTTAGAAGGGAACATAATGATGATGATAACAGAAGCCTTAGAAAAACAGAATGCTGCAAAAGCACCAGGTCCAGATGGATTGCCAGAGGAATTTTACAAGACTTTCCAGGAAATATTGAATCTTCAACTATTAGAAGTCACAAATGAAGTTATGTCAAAGAAGGGAATACCCAAAACATGGTCAGAAGCATATATTACACTTATACCGAAGAAAGACACAGACCTGCAGCAAGTTAAAAACTATAGACCTATATCTCTATTAAATTCAGACTATAAAATTTTTGCTTCAATCTTGGGAAGAAAGACTGAAAAGATACTTAAATAATTTTATCCATGCTGATCAAAATGGATTTCTGCCAAAGAGACAAATTAAAGACAATATAAGAATAATTATAGACACACTGGAATACTATGAGGCACATCCTGAAAAGCAAATGGCCTTGATGTTTTTAGATGCACAAAAAGTCTTCGATAATGTGAGTTGGCAGTTTATGTTATTGCAACTGGTACAAATGGGCTTTGGTAAAAAAATTATTCAAGCCATTGAAATGATATATCATAAACAAACTGCAAAGGTTATGATAAATGGAGAATTAACAGAGTCTATAGATATAAAAAAGGGACTAGACAAGGTTGCCCACTGTCACCTCTGCTGTTTGTGTTAACATTGGAAGTGTTGAATAGGAATATTAGAGAAGAAAAAGAAATAAAAGGAATGAAAATTAAAAAGGAAGAGTAAAAATTGCAAGCCTTTGCAGATGACCTGGTATTTATATTAGAGGATCCATTGGAAACAGCATCTAAATTAATAGAAAAGATAGAAGAGTATGGAAAAGTAGCAGGTTTGAAAATAAATAAAGATAAAACAAAGATATTAACAAAGAACATGTTAGCAAGAAGAAAGAAAGAGTTGGAGGAAGTCTTAGAAATACAGGTCACAAATAAGGTCAAGTATTTAGGGATATATATTACATCAAGATGTAGTACATTGAAGGAGGATAACTATTTTAAACTCAAACAACAGATTGTGACAGACTTGACAAAATGGGAAAATTTACAATTATCATTGATTGGGAGAATATCTACAGTTAAGATGAATGTATTGCCCAGAATTTTGTATCTATTCCAGACAATTCCAATTTGATTAGGGAAAGAGTTTTTCAAAGACTTAAATAAAATTGTGCTGAAATACAACTGCCAGGGTAAGAAAGTGAGAATAAAACTTAAACTGTTACAAGATGCAAGAATAAAAGGAGGGTTTGCTTTGCCCAACTGGGAATTGTATTATCAGGTGACAAATCTGATGTGGGTAAAGAAATGGATAACATTAAGGAACAGTAGATTATGGACTTTAGAAGGACATGACTTGCTGTTGGGATGGCATGCTTTCCTCTGGTATAAGGGAACTAAAACACAGGGGTATTTTAGAAGAATTATACTGTATCTGAGAGGAAAAAGACTTCACACAGTGGATGGAGAAAGAATTGGCTTTTTTCTTTAGAGAAAACAAAAAAGAAGATACATCAATTCAGAATGTATGGGATACAATGAAGGGGATACAATGTTAGAGGCTTGATAATAGACTATACAAGGAAAACAAATACTATGAAAAGATTAGCCTCTAAGGCCTTAGAGGATGAGTATAAAAGACTTGAAAAAGAGCTACAGAAAATGCCACAGAAAAAGGACATCAAGCTAAAAATGGATATAGTTAAACATAAAATGGGTCAAATAGAAAAAGAAGAATTAGCACAGAAAATTAGAGGTGCTAAATAGAACTACTTTGAAGATGCAAACAAACCAGGTAGATGGTTAGCATACAAACTGAGAAAGGAGAGAGAATCAAGGAAAATATTGCAATTAATAGATGACCAAGGCCAAGTTTGCTATGGTAGTAAAGAGAAGAAGGAAATCATTCAAGACTTCTATGGGAAACTATATATGCAAGAGAATATTGATGAGGAAAGAGTTAAACAGTACTTATAGAATGCTAATTTACCTCAGATACCTAAAGAGATTGAAACAATGTTAGAAAGAAATATAATGATGATGGAGTTAACTGAAGCACTCAAGAAGCAAAATAATGGAAAGGCACCAGGCCCAGATGGACTTCCAGCAGAATTTTACAAAACATTACAAGAATCATTGAATCTTCCATTGCTAGAAGTTATGAATGAAGTTATTTTAAAGAAGAAGATACCTAAATCATGGTCAGAAGCCTATATTACACTTATTCCAAAAGAGGAGGCCGATCCATTACAAATTAAGAACTATAGACCTATTTCTCTACTAAATGCAGGTTATAAAATCTTTGTTTCAATATTGGCAGAAAGACTTAAAAAATATCTAAATAATTTTATTCATCCTGATCAAAATGGATTTCTGCCAGAGACAAATTAAAGATAATATGAGAGTAATCGTGGGCAAAGTAATCTTTGTTGTTTTTGTTAACTTTGGAAGTGCTAAACAGAAATATTAGAGATGAAAAGAATATAAAAGGAATGAAAATCAAAAAGGAAGAATTTAAGCTGCAAGCATTTGCAGATGATCTGGTTTTCATCTTAGAAGACCCTCTAGAAACAGCACCAAAATTGATAGAAAAGATAGACACATATGGAAAGGTGGCTGGTTTGAAAATAAATAAAGATAAGACAAAGATCTTGACAAAGAATATGCTATTAAGATAAAAGGAAGAACTGGCAGGCCTATTGAAAATTCAGGTCATGAATAAGATCAAGTACTTGGGGATATATGTGACAGCAAGATGTAGTACACTAAAAGAGAATAATTATATCAAACTTAAACAGCAGATAGCGCTAGATCTGGCGAAATGGGAAAATTTACAACTGTCACTAATAGGGAGAATTTCAACAATCAAGATGAATATATTACCCAGAATTTTATATTTGTTTCAAACAATTCCAATTAGGCTTGGAAAAGATTACTTTGAAGATTTAAATAAAATTGTGTTGAAACTGGCAAGGTACGAAAGCGAGAATAAGGTTAAAACTTTTGCAAGATGCTAGAATTAGAGGAGGATTTGGTTTGCCTAATTGGGAGTTGTATTATCAAGCTACAAATTTGATATGGGTTAAGGAATGGATAACACTAAATAATACTAGATTGTTGACATTAGAAGGACATGATTTGTTGTTGGGGTGGCATGCTTTTTTATGGTATAAAGGAACTAAAACAGAGGGGTATTTTAGAAGACATTATATATGGGAGTCTCTGTGGTTAAACTCTGTAGTTAAATGTTATTTGAAAATTCCAGTCTGGCTATCGACTATTGAAGCATTTTCTTATCCTATAATATACAAAAAGGAACAAACAGTTAGATATGGTGAAATATTGAATGAAAAGTGTTCTATCGCCAGGATAAAGCAGACTCGAAGACCGGAGTTGAATTCAGCTCTTTATTAGCAACCAGTAACTTCAACTAAAGTCGAGCCGTGGCAGCCCTTTTTATAGTGGCTGCTCGCAGCTCGCAACCAATGGCATTTATTTAAACTTCCCGCCACTTAGGCGGCCAATCCAAGATGGTTGTTATTAACCAATCATTAAGCTATGTGGACTAACCAATGGAAATGTGGTATTAGAAGTATGTACATGAATACACTACAAAAAGGGTGAACTCCAATCTATACAAAAACTAGAGGAACAAGGTATAAAGATGAATTGGTTTTCATATGCGCAAATACATTCAAGGTATGATATTCTAAAATGGAAGGTTTCTATGATAAATTGACTGATTTAGATAAGATTTTGACAGGTACTGATGAAAAGGTGATTAAAAAATTATATGGATATTTATTAGAAATTAAATTAGAAGAAGAACAAGTTAAAGAAACTATGATTTCTTGGGGGAAGAATTTTGGATATGGGATTGATTTAGAGAAATGACAATGTCAACAGCATATAAAGAAAATTTGTATAAGATGTTTTACAGGTGGCATTTTCCCCCGACAAGAATAGCAAGAATGTTCAAGAATAAATCCAAAAAATGTTGGAAATGTCATCAGACACCTGGCTCATATTACCATATGTGGTGGACTTGTGCGGATGCTAAAAAATACTGGACTAAAATCCACATGTGGTTGGAAAAAATGACAAAAAAATATATAGACTTAAAACCAGAGGTATTTTTATTGGGAATTTTACCTGAAATATATAATAAAGACTTGAAATATCTGATTGTAAATGTATTAACAGCGGCTAGGATTGTATTTGCCAAAACTGGAAAAATGAGAAAATACCATCACAGGAGGAAATCATTAAGAAAATATTGGAATGTGCTGAAATGAGTAGATTGACATTTGAAATTAGAGAACAAGATGATAAACAATTTTATAAAATCTGGGATCTATTCTATCAATGGTTAGACAATAAAATACAGTAATGAAATATGTAGACTCTTAGAAAATAATAAATATATAAAGATGTATTTCTTTCTTATTATATCTACAAAATGATTTTAGGATAGATTTGGGATGATAATATGAACTGTTATAAAACAAACTAAGTAAATTATGATTATCTTGTAAAACATGAATGAATAAAAGTATAGTCAAATGATTGATTAATAATGATAGTAAGGTATTTAATTTTTGATTGAAAATACGAGCTTATATGCAATGTAATTGTAATTGAAGACTAGGAAATGGAAGCAATTTGTAAACCAACCGGCACACTGTATGTATACATATGGAAGATGGCTTGATGTTTTTATGTTTTGTTTGTTTATGTTTGTTTTTAAAAACCAATAAAAACTTAAATAATAAAAAAAAATTCCATTATGGATATCACTGAAGCTTTTTCTTATCCAATAACATTTAAAAAGGAACAAACAGTTAGGTATGGTGAGATATTGAATGAAAAGGGTGAACTTAAATCTATGCAAGCGTTGGAAGAACAAGATATAAAAATGAATTGGTTTTCATATTTGCAGATACAATCTAGATTTGATAAAGATCTTAAAACAGAAGGTTTCTATGATAAGTTGACTGATTTAGATAAAATTTTGATGGGTACTGATGAAAAGGTAATTAAAAAAACTCTATGGACATTTATTAGAATTTAAATTAGAGGAAGAACAGGTTAAAGAAACAATGATTGTTTGGGGGGAAAATTTGGATATGGGATTGATTTAGAAAAATGGCAAAAATTGTGGCCTCAAAATTATAAAATGACAATGTCAACTGCTTATAAAGAAAATTTGTATAAGATGTTTTACAGGTGGCATCTACCCCGACGAGAATCACTAGAATGTTTAAGAACAAATCGGATAAATGTTGGAAATGCCATCAGATACCTGGTTCATATTACCATATGTGGTGGATATGTTTGGACGCAAAAAGATATTGGACTAAAATCCACACATGGTTGGAAAAAATGATAAAACAACACATAGACTTTAAACCAGAGATATTTTTATACCAGAAATATACAATAAAGAACTGAAATATTTGATTGCAAATGCTTTAACAGCAGCTAGAATTGTATTTGCGAAGAATTGGAAAAATGAAAAAATACCTACGCAGGAGTAAATTATTAAGAAAATTATGGACTGTGTTGAAATGAGTAAATTGACATTTGAAATTAGAGAACAAGAAGATAAACAATTTTATATGAAATGGGATTTGTTTTATCAATGGTTGGATAAAAAGACATGGTAATGTAATAGACTAGGAAATCTTGTAATAGAAGTTTAATAGATCGCTATAAAATATAATACAGATATATATAACCACTGGATGAAAGTACAATATAAATTTCATAATAAAATCTAGAATATCTCATATAAAATGATGGAATAAATAGTTTAGTCATGAATGATTAATAACTGATAAATATATAAGCATATGTTATTTTGACAATGTGAAAATTTATATAAACTGTGAGTAATGACTGTGAAAGGATAGCACAAAAGATTTGTAACCAACTGACACACTTTATGTATATAAAATGGAAGATGGCTTTCTGTTTTTATGTTTTGTTTGTATATGTTTGTCTTAAAAAAATATAAAAAATGTTATTTTGGTCTCAAGGCAAGTGGATCAGAAAATGCACTGCAACAGACAAAATAATACAAAAATGTACATTTTTTAATTAATAATTATAAATAATTACTATTGTGGTTTCTGGCCAAAAGACCACAATAAAAATTTTATTTGGACTATAAATATTATAATTCTCAAAGTCAAAGAACCTTCAGTCTAATAGTAAAAAAATCTTACCAACCAAATTTAATTCAGCTTGGAATTTACTTCTGTATCTTTTTCCCTACAACTCAAACTAAAACTCAAGATTACTAAAATGTTATTTTATTCCGCATTTTCCTAATTTCCTACAAACCAACTGATTTTTTAACCAGTCTTGCGTCCATGTGAACAACAGAA